CAAGCCTCGCTGACGGTGCTAACGAGGGAGGACTGAGCTTGGTGACAGTCAGAGGAAAAGGTGGACAGGGGTCTCCAGGGGTCAGGCATGGACTCTTGGGGGGCGCGGTGAGGCTGGAGATGAAGACCCAGCCCGCCGTGACGGATGGGAGGGCCGAGACCTCAGACCCGGACAGGGATGGGGGCTCAGGCGGGGCGCTGTCCCTGGGTAGAATGTGTGTGTGTGGCGGGGGGGACACACTTGGGACACAACCCTGAGTAGTGTGTGTGTCACAGGGGAACACGTGTGTGTGTGTCGGGGGGACACGTGTGTGTGCATGTGTGGCGGGGGGTACACGTGTGTGTGTGTGTGGCCTGCGGGGTGGGGGACACTTGGGACACGATCCTGAGGGCAGTGGGCTTCCCAAAGACTCTCACCAGGGCTGCCAGGCCCCTGAGGTGAGGTCGGGAGGGCACAGCATATCATGCAGCTTTTGTCAGAGGAGCCGGGGGCGGGACAGGTGGGGTTGGGGGCGCAGGGTGGAGACACCTTGGAGAGGCCAGCCTTGGGGCTTACACAACAAGGGGGTGGGGGCGCTGGGGAAGCAGAGGGCCGGAAGGTGACATCTGTTTCAGGCCTGACAAATGAGTGGCTATGGATGGACGGAGGTGCCGCTCACAGCAGAACCGTGAGGGGGGCTCTGGCGTCTGCAGGGGGTTGATGCTTTCGGACCCCTGTGGGCGTCCGACACGCTCCTCAGTCCATTCTTCTCATTAGAGAAGGCACACAAGCACCCACGAAACAGGCTTCTCTGAACTGAAGCAGCTTCTTGTTAACACAGGCTATTACGGGCAAGGGAAGTATACGAGTCTGGGCAAGCTCTGGGAGATGGAGAAGGACAAGGAAGCCTGGCGTCCTGCAGTCCATGGGGTCGCAGACTCGGGTACAACTTAGTGACTGAACCACCACCACCGCTGGCAGGGGTATAGCCTGTGCCCCCCACCCCAGCCTGCTCCCCCCCAGGCTCTGTGGTGACCCGCTGACTAGGGACCCAGCCCCCGGGGGACCCCCTCTCTGCAGGTGCTGTGACTCCAGCTGGGGACTGAGCAGTGGTGGGACCCTCAGCTCTCCCACGTGCCTGCCGACCAGGCAGGCCCCAGGTTCCAAGAAGTGGCACACACGCCGCTTTACCTGTGTGGGGGGACTCCCTTCAAGTTTAGCTTACGAGGTGGAGGTGGGGTAGGACAGGGGAAGCTTGGAAATGGGCTGGAGCACTGGCCCCCCACTGCTGAGGGCCAGGGCCCCCCTTTCCTCGCTGCAATGGGGGAGGCATGGCCTGAGCTTTCTGGACCACAGTCCCAGCCAGAAGAAATGAAACAGACCAGGGGCTAGACCTTAGCTTCGGAATGTGACAATTTATTTGGGGGGGGCCAAAGAGGCTTTTCGCGCCCCCTTCCTGGCATTGATACAATATTGAAGAGCAGCAGAACAAAACATACAAGACAAGAGTAATCAGCACAGACCCCCCTCCCCCGGCCCAGAAACAACCGATTCCAGAACAAAACCAAAATCCACACCCAACACAAGGCGTTTCTCCACCCGCGACCTCTGGGAGAGGAGCAGGTGGCCTGGGGGCCCAGCCCCATGCTGGGGTAGCGCCCCTCTCCCCACATCTCCGATCTCCCGCTCACCCTACTAGTTTCCTGTCTTGAACCACTGGAGGCAAAGTTTAGCCAGCTGGGAGCTGGATGGTTGAACCACAGACAAAGGCAACAACACTTCATTTTAAATGAGAGAAAAAAGAGACAGCGCCCCTCCCCAAATATAGAGTTATATATGTATATTTTATATATATAGAATTCATTCGTGCACAATTCATTAAATGAGCTTTTCAAAAATTAAAAAAAATTATAAGATACATTTCTTTAGGCTTTTGTGTTTTTAAATTAAAACCAACAAGAAGTCTCCATCTCTACTCCGCCCAATAGCAGGGGGAGGCCCCAGGACCCTTGGTTCCTTCTACTGTGGCCTCGTGCAAGGGGTCCCTCACTAGACCACCAGCCCCACTTTGCCTAGCTGAAGCTCTGCATACAATAGGCACTCACCCACTGCTGAAGTGGGGTGCTGACTCCTTCAAGGTGGGATAGGGTGACGCCACAGGCCTGGGAGGTGGGTACCTCAGTCTCCACCCAGCCTGTCCCCCCCATCTTGGTATCTTGGCAACTATCAATAAGACAGGGCCAGGCTGGGGACACCCTCTCTCTGTCCTGGAGTGGTAGCCCCTAATTCTGGGCTTTCTCAATCTGAGAGGAGATGCAGACAGAAAAAAAACAAAAACCTTTAAACACTTTTCTTTTTTTTTCTTTTTTTCAAAAGTGATTCCTTAAACCATACAAGCCCCCAAGAGGCTGCCTTGGGCTAGTGCATGGGAGCCTGAAAGTGGAACTTACCAGGTGGGTCCCACCGTCCGGCATGGGCTAAGTGCAAAAAAAAAACCCAAAAAAACAGAAAAGAAAAAACCTCCCAAAACACAAAACCAACAACCACCAACAAAACCCCTAAAGACACAAAAGGCAGTGTGTCCACTTGGGTCCACCCAGAGGCTAGAAAGGCTGGTGGTGTCCCAGCTCCCCGAGCCAACAGCTTCCTCCTTTGGGCTGACCTCTCACTCAAGACTGCCTGGCTCAGGGGAAGCCCCTGGCTTTGTGGTAGCTCCAGGACTTGGTCCCCACCTTTCAAAGGTTGTCCCCGAAAGGCCAGAGCAGCTGGGCTCTTCACTCCAATGAAGCAGCTTTGCCTCTCAGAGGCCAAGTTTCCTGGCCTTGGTAGTGGGGTGACCCCTCCCACTCTGCCTGCCCCACTGGGCTCAGTTGGAGCCCATTTTGATCCTGACCCCTTTGCAGGATGAGAATGAAAAGCAGCTGTGGGAGAGTAGAGGCCCCAGTGCCAGCGACCTCCACCACCCCCTAATCCTCAGCAGCTGCCGGGATACCAGCAGGTGAAAAGGCCATGCCGCCCAATACACCCATTTCACAGACGGGCAAACTGAGTATCTGGGAGGGGAATGAGACAGAGCCAGGTTCCAAGTTCCCACCTCAAACCAGACACCAGACCTCATCTGTTTCCTATGACATGGGGGTGAGGACAGGGTGGCATTAAGGGGAGATGACCCCAGCCAATATTGAACAAGGAAGGAGGTCGGGTCTTGAGGGGTCTTTCACATACAAAAAATAAAGCCAACCAAACTGCAACTTCTGCTTGGTAATTAGGCAAACGGAAAAGCAGCAGCAGGGGAGGAAGGACCCACGGGAGGCTGATCTGTGCAAGTGTGGCGGGGGGCTGCGGGGCCAGCTCAGAGCCACCTGGGGGAGAGGTAAGGAGGGCTCCACTTGCTTTTGACCTGGTGCCCACTTGGGCCCCCAGGGGAGCTGCCCGCCTGGGAGCCAGCCGTGCCCATGCGTGCCCCTGCTGGGGAGGGCTGCACAGCTGGGGGTCAAGGGCAGCAACTCGCCTGTGGAAAGAGACAGAGCGGACACACCCTCTCCCTAGGGCTACCCCCAACCCACCATGATCACCACCAAAGGCTCTCCCAGAGTCTACAGCGCCTGTCTTCCTGACACCTGCAGCAACGCCTACCTGGCCATGGAAGCTTGGGGGTGTCATGATCACTGGGGCAATGGGGAGGAAGATGCCCCCATGGGGTGGCGGTGGAGGAACCAGATGGACCAACAGGCTGGCAAGGGAATGAAGGGGGGCGAGGAACCCAATTGTACCCACTCACCAGCCTTCCTGCAGAGTCACAAACGCTGGGTCCCGGCGACAGTGGGACCCCTGCTGACCGCTATCTCCCCCAATCTCAGCTCTACCTGCTTCGCCCCTGCAGCTTCTGGCAAGTTCCTTTGGGAACAGAGGTCATCCTTCCATCTGAGCTGGGACAAGAGCGGAGCCTGGGCTGAGCACAGGAGGGAGGGCTTACCTTGCCGCGGGCCAAGGAAGGGGGGCTGTCGCCATGCCCGGGGTCGGGGTGCCCTCCCAGCTGGGCCTGGGCCTCTGTCCACGTTCCTAACATTGCCGCCTCAGCTGTGCAATCGCTGCGTTACTAGTTTTTCTTTAAATAGCTTTCTCCCCACCCTCCCCAACCCCATAGGAATCCCACAATATTTTTTTCTATTTCTTCCCCCCCCCTTTTTTATTTATTTTTTTCTGTTTTTTGCAAAACTAATTCTTTCACTTTCCTGTCATAAAATCACCTCTGAAAACACAACTTCTTTACAAAAAAGGTCACGAATGACACGGACTCTCAGGAAAACACATTTCTATGGTCTCTGGAAACACCTGTAACTGGCACCCAGGTGGACACACACCTGGGGTGGGGGTTGGTGGGGGGGGGAATCCCCTCTAACGACAAGAGGAGAAATACCAGCCCTTATTTGGGGCGAAGCCAATTGGCACTTGGACGGCCACGGAGCCAACAGAAGGGCAGGATGGGGAGGGTCAGAGGACCCTGCCACAGTCTCTGGCAGGGACAGTCGGAAGACAGAGTCCCTCCATGCTCAGGACCAAGGCATTTGTTACCCACCCGGAATTCCCTCTCTGCGTCCTCCTGACATCACGGATTCTAAGCTGACATACTAAGAAGCCACCTCGAGCCACCATTGAGGACTCCCAATCGTGCCAAACAGACCAGGCGGTGCCCCAGGGCTGGCCAGCGGGGTTGCGTTCCCTGTGCCCCAGACCCCAGGTCCTGCACAGGCCCGCTTTCCGGAAGGACACCGGGCCCCCTCTTCCATCCCCAGCTTGGGCCAGCCTGCCCTCCCAGCACCAGGCCTAAAACTGGGGTCTTGGTCTTTGCCACTGGCATGGACAACTCATGTTCCCAGGCCGCAGCAGAAAACGAAGCTGCCTAGAGCAGTGGAGGCCTCCTGCTGCTTGGAGAAGGCTGGGCTGTGACAAAGCCTGGGCGATCACAAGCAAGAGAGAAGGGGCGGGGGTCTGGGGGCGAGGGGGCGAAGCCGGAGACCCTAAGAACCATGTCCAGGCTTCTTCCTCCCCGCAAACTGCCAAGAGGAAGCAGCAGCTTGGGACGGTGGTCTGTCTCCCCTCGGCCTCAGTCCCATCATGTCATGTCCGACCACCCCACAGGAGAAGGGCGGGGGTCGGGCGTCCCGCCCCTGCACACGCGTGCCGGGAAGCTCGGCCTCCGCAGCAAACTCCTGGGACAGGTCCCAGGCCCGGCTGATGGCCAGGAAGGGTCCGGGGCCCCACGCAGATACGGATACACGCGGACGCGCCTGGGGCGGCAGGCGCATGCGCAGGAGGAAGTCCGCGCCGCAGGTTCTTGTAGCACCTTTGGTTGAAAACGGAGGGACCTTTAGATGCCGGGAGGCCATGGCAGGCGAGGTTCGTGCCAGCCCCTCCCACGTTCAAGACAGAAATTAGGAAAAAGATGGGTGGGTGGGAGCCACGGGGGCCCAGCTCCTGCCGCCCTCACAAGGGGAGGAGAGGGGCCATGGCCGCCTTCATCTCCACCTCTGTCCTGGCTTCCCCATCCCTGCCCCTCCTTCCCGGGTTATCTGGAGGAAGGAAAGGGACGGTGCCCATGCTGGGATGGGGGTCCCCTAAGGGGCCCCGCAGCTGCCGGGGGTTAGCACCGAGAAATCAGATGCTGTGCGCGAGAGCTGGAAGCAAGCTGGATAGAGACAGGACGGGATGTGGGGATGGCAGCTGAACCCCAGGTTCTGGGGCTCCCTAGGAGCCACCCAGCAGGCCCCACTGTGCGTGGGCAAGGAGGGTGCCAAGAGACAAGAGGGAGGACTTCCCGGTGCCCTCGCCCCCCACCCCAGCCCCACCCCGTTCCAGGCCTGCCCCTCCCACTGGGCTTCAGGGGGTCTCCAACTACCCAGCCCCATCCCGGGGTCAACGCCGAGCCTTTTGAAACAAGCAAAGCACAGGCGGGGTTGTCTGAGGGCGGGGGGTGCGGGGGCGGGAGCAAGAGTATGACTTTGGGCAGGAGGGCGCCCCCAGCCCCCCTCTTGGTGGAGCCCCCCTTACTTGCTCGCCCCGCTGCTGCCACCCCCTGCTGCGGCGCCTGCTACCCCAGCAGCCACCTTCTCGAAATCCTCTGGGTTGCAGAATTCCTTGATAGTGACCGTGAGGAGGTTGCTGGTGACGTCGGTGACGACCACGTTGGAGCAGGGTGACATCTCAGGGCGCCAGTCCCCCGCCTCGGGCTCGGAGGCGGCGCCGGCCGGCTCAGGGGCGGCGGGAAGGGCCTGGCTGGCAGCTGCTGGAACCTCGGGAGGCGCCCGCTTGCTGGTGGCCGCCGCCTCGGGCGGGAGGGACAGGTCAAGCACCTCGGGCTCCCGCCAGTCGGGGGCCGATGGGCTCGTGGTCTCCGGGAGCAGCTTGGGGGGCGCGTCCTCCGGCTCGGAGGAGTGCGGGGCGGGCGAAGGGCAGCCGGAGGAGCTGGAGCTGCGGGCGTCGTAGGGAGCACTGGGGGGCGCCAGGAGCAGCCCCTGGCCGGGGGAGGCGGCGATGTCGGTCTTGCCGGCAGGCGGGGGCTGCAGAGGGCCGGGCGGGGGCTTGTTGTACAGCGCGAACGTGCCGAACTTCATGTGGCGGACCTGCGTGCGCAGGATGCTCTCGCTGAACTTCTTGCTCTTGCCGATAACGCGGTTCCGGGACGGGACTTTGGGGCGGGCCAGGGCCCCGGCCCCCTGCCCGGCGCCACCTGCGCCCGGGCCTTTGTCGATCACCTTCAGGTTGAGGATAATGCGGTTCCGCTTGGGCTCCCGCGGCTTGACCTTGCGATTGATGATGCGCACGGTCTCGGAGAAGGGGGAAATGGGCGGGCGAAGGCCGGGGCTGCCCCCCTGGGGGTCTGGGCGGGGCAGGGGGCGGCGGGACATGCGGTGGCAGCGGCGGATGTCCTTCTTGAGCCGGTGCACCGCAGCGCTGGAATGCAGCTTGGGCGAGGAGGCGCTGGCGCTCGGCTTGACGGAGAAATGCACATCGCTGATGCGGAGGGCCTCGGCCTGGGCCCGCGCCTGCGAGACAGAGGGAGGCAGGTGGCTGAGGGCTCGGGCTGCCCGCTGACCTCTGGACACCCCCTGCCTCGGCCACCCACGAGTACTGGCTCATGAAACCATCCTGAGGGCACTTAAGAAAATCAGCAGGTGCTCCTACCCCTGCCTGAGCGATAAAAAGAAACAGGTTCAGACAGGTGATGCAAAGTGCAGAAGGCTGCGGGGCAAGGCAGACTCTTATCCAGGCCCAGCTTGCAAGGCTTGACTTTCCCAGCTCAGCTGTGGGCCCGAGGGACAGACTAGCCACTGTCGTTGCGGACACACAGAAGTGGAACTGCCAGGATGTTGCATGGAAAGAAGCCCCGGGCCACTTCTGACCAGGGAAGATCGCAGCCCAGCCTGGCACTCCTCCATGGACAAATTCCTAGTGACCAAAAGCAGAGGGTGATCTCTCCCTGCCCCACCCCTCTGGGCCTATCTGTAGACGCCCTGAGCTCTTTCTCTGCCTCTGAACAAGCTGCACCTCCAGCTCAGTCTCACCTCAACTCTGGGGGCAGACCTTTGGCCTCTCTTCATTCCCAGCCCCTGGCACTTCCCCTCCTGGGTCTGATTCATCTGTCTGCCCAGGGTCTGGCTCAGGGCCTGGGTCTGAGCAAACTGGTGCCAATGGATTTCACAGCCGACACCTAGAACCTCCTTGGCATTGGTTTGGTGGGGATGGGCTAAGAGGTGGGATGGACCTCACCACAGTCTCTGTGCCAAGATGGCCTGGGGGCAGGATGGCTGGACAGAAGTCTGAGAGGAGCGAGCGATATTTACTGTCCCAGGCTCCTGAGCCCAGCTGCACACAGTCCCAGGTGTGAAATGTGTGCAGCCCCAGGACTCTGCAGCAGCTCACCTGCTACCTCAGGGAAGGTGCAGGATGTGTGTGGCAGGGCCCTCAGAGACCCCAGGTCCAGGGCAAGAGACTCACAAGGTTAGGTAAGCCATCCTCGGGGGCCAGTCCTTCCCTCACTAAGCAAGTACTAATAATTCACCTGTCAGCTGCCTGGGGCTACAGCTACGACCACACACAGCTTCTACGTCCAGGGGGCCGCACTCCAAGGAAAAGACAGGTAACAGGCAATTAGGGTGCAGGATGCTTCAATGCAAGGAAGAAAGTACAGGCTCCAGAGGAGCACGGATTATGTCCCCGTCTTGGCGGATGAACCATCAGTAGAAAAACAAACAAACAAAAAACACCCTTGACTTCCCTGAGCTATGCCCCAAGGGGCTGTGGAGGCTCAGGTGGCCTGCTGAAGGGGTACTGCTAAGACCAATGGTGGAGGCAGAGAGAGCCCAGGGAACTGAAAGCAATGGCTGGACAGAGGGTAGAGATGGGTGACCAGTCTGGGTTCTGTACAGATACCCTGGCGCCTGGTGGGGGAGATCGTTAGGCAGTGACTGTCTCCAGCCAGGGGAGCTCGGGTGGCTGAGAGGAAGGGCACATTTCCATAGGTGAGTCTCTGGGCTCCCCAAGAGTGCAATCTGTGGTTGGGGGTCTCTCCACCTCCCATCCCCACGGCGCTGGATGCTTTATCAGTACCCCGGAGGCAGGCTGGTAGACAAGACTAGAGTGTATTTGACCACAAGCCCCAGAAGACGTTATCTGTGGACTTAGATGCTGAATAAGTGAGGATGTCATTTAGAACGTGGGAGAGGCACGCGTCCTACAAGTTCTGTCTCAAGTCTCCTCCTGGGGTGGCTTAGTTAACAATCCCTCCAGCCACTAGGTGGCAGCAGATGACCCCCCCTGCCCCCCGCCCGGGACCTCCCTGTGCCAGGGCTGCCAGCTCCTCCAGCTCAGAGCCAGTGGAGCCAGGGGCTGGTTCCCTCATACCCCTTCCCAGACAAAGGCAGGGGAAAGCCAGCCTTCCTTGGCATGGCAACAGGGGCTTTTTGCAGCTTCATCCCCAAGGGAGCTCAGGGGATTCCCCACTCTTTCCAGTACCCCGGGGGTTAGTGTTTATTCCCTCTGCACGCTGCTGGGGCTCCAAGACCTCTGTAATTACGGTTCTGCCAGAGTCCAGCAGTGACGCATGGTCCCTGGGGACTGGTGAAGTGTGCAGGCAAGGCAAACGTCAGATCCAGGATGAAACCCCGGCTTGGTGGGACTCCTGGGACCATGAGATAGTATATGTTACCTGCTTAGCAAAACGCCTGGCACACAGCAAGCACTCGAGAAATGTTAAGACTTATATATCCAAGGGGTGGTGCTTTTGAGAGCAACCTTTTTCTAATGTATGCCTTCCAACCATTCTACAAAAAAATTTCTTACTTTGTAATTTCTAAATGTTTTTTCAAAGGGGGTTAGTTTACCCTCCTCCTCCTCTCCCCTCCCCAGGTGGAGAATTCTTTGAAGATGAGACCTGGGTCTGCCTGTGAATTAAAAATGGTAACCACAGCCAATGCATTTATTGCATTCTGACTGCGTGACGGGCACAGCTCCAAGGGCTTGGCATGTACTACATCTAGATAACGTGGAAGATAAAGCCCTGGACTCTATCACTCCCTCTCTGTGATCAGGAGCAAGTTATTTAACCTCTCTGGTCTCAAGTTTTTCTATGTATAAAATGGGGATAATGCAACTCACGTCATGGGCTCCTGTTCTCTTCAGAGGAGTTCCCTGCAGAAAGTGTGATTTGTTTACTATACACACTGCCTCTTGGGTTCAGACCAAGCTGATCTCCATCACCCCTTGCAAATCTCTCATGCTCCCTGAATATCTATTTCATCTCATCTCCAAATCAAGGTCCTCTCATCTGCCTCTCCGCCCCCTGCCCCACCAACTCTGCAGCCTTCATAGTTTCCCGTGTGTGTCCATCTCTTTCCCTTAACCTGATGTGTACTTCCCTGAGGGACAGGGTTAAGAAAAGGAGACATGATAAAGCCAGGAAGCTAGGTGATGGGAGCTCAGGTAAAATCACCTCCCTTCCCTGGGCCTTGATTTTCTCATCTTCAAAAGAGGGAATACCATTCCCTACTTCGTAGGGGGTTTTTGAGCAACAGAAAGGAGATAATCCATGTGGGGGCTCAACACTATGAGGCCCACAGCCAGAGCTACAGCTATTAAAAAAAAGAAAAGCATTCTGAATCAATTGTCATGGCCATTGCTCGCTTCCCCGCTAGAGGGCACTCCAGCTGCACTGTGAGAGGCTGTCACACAGCCCACGGGCCTCCAGCTGCTCTGCCCCATCCCTCCGGAGAAACATCAAGGGTTAAGATTGCTCCACGGATCTCCTAAAATGTGTGTAATTTGGAGACAAGGGTCACAGAAGGATGTAATTCTGGAAACCATTATTTCTTTCACTTCTGCTTTAAGTCCGAGGCAAACTTTATACACATGTACAGTCCTTTTGAGGGAGGTGGGAGGCTGGAAAGTCCACCAACTGGGCTTTGAGCCTTTCGAACAGATTGGAGATTCTGAGGCCCTGCCATTCTGCACAGCCTTTTTTCTGCAGAGTCCCGTCTGCCCTGCCCATGCCAGCTGCCACAAAGTCACAGGTTGTCGGGGTGGGACGGGGCCTTGAGAAAATCTTAGCACTAGTGGGGAAGACAGTGCTTGCCCATGGAGACCGCCTGCAGCTTTGCCTGCCACCTTGGGTCATCTCGACTTCCCTTTCCCAGACTCTGTTCTTTCTCATTAAAAAAAAAATAAACACCAAAAACCTCTAAGATGGCTTCCTCTGGAGCTAGGTCTCCGTCCCTTGCCAAGGCCAATGTGCCATGCTTTTATTCTCTCTCCCTCCATCCTCATTAGAACCTCCAGACACAGCCAGAAGTGGGGCTAACAGAACCAGTGGCCCAGCCTGGGTGATAAAACTCAAAGCGAAGTGACTTAAGGTCAAATTTAAGTTCGATCCTCCTGTCCGAAGGGAAGGCATGCAGAACAAATCCTGAGAGAGGCAAGCTGGAGACAGGGAGGCAGCCCCCCACCCTAAAAGCCTCTCCCTGTTCCGATGAGGGAGATCACATCCACTCCTCCTCTGGACGTGAATTCCAGGTAGAGCCCCACCACTCAAGGCTGGGGGACAGCAGGACTCTCACGTGCAGAGGCCACCTCCCTGCCACCCCCGCAGGTGGACTGCTCCCACCTGCCTCATTCACCCTCTTTCTGCTGGCCTCCCCAGACCCTGGTTTTGTGAACAAGGATCATCCTCCCTCCTCGCCCCCATTCCCAGGCCCCTCTTGCAGAGAAGCTGGAGCTGGCCAGGGCCGCCTGCCAGGGGCTCGTCGGGGGCTCACAACCACCCCCTGCCCAGCTGGGGCCCCCTCTAGAAAGGCCCGCCCGCCAGGGCGGCCGCGGATCTGTCCCTCCCCTGCAGGCCCCGTGTTGCGCCCGGGCTAGGGGCCCGAGAGGGGGCTGCTGGGGCTGGGCCAGGTTACCTTCAGGAGGAAAGTTTTGGGTTTGGGTCCCCTCTTCTTGGGCCCATACAGCTCACGCTCCCGCTCCCTGCGGCCGAGAAACACCCGAGGTTAAAAATGATCCCCTTCCCGGGCCTCACTCCGCGCTGCCCTCCCCGGCCCTCCCGCTTCCCGGCGCGGCGCCCCAGCCGAGCCTCGGCCCCGCCGCCCCTGCCAGCTTCCTAAACTCACTTCTGTTCGAAGGCTGCAATGAGTCGCGAGTCCAGGATGTTCTCTTCGGGCTCCCAAGTGCTGTACCTGCCGAGTTACACATGCACAAAATAAAAAACAAAACCAGAGAGGCAGAGGCACATGCGAGGGAGCAAATGTGCGCACCCCCCCAAGGTAAAAAAAAAAAAAAGGCCCCGATGTCCGCTGCCTCCCTTCCCCCCTCGCTCCTGGATCCCGTGACACTCACTTGATGGCCCACCCCTTCCATTTCACCAGGTACTCGATGCGTCCCTGAAAAAGAGAAGGAAAAAAAGGGGAGAGTGGGGGTGGGGAAGATGCGGGGACGCGAGGAGGCGACGGCGCGGGGGTGGGCGAGAGAGCCCGGGTTAGCGGGACCGCTTCGCCTAGCTGGCCCACGGGCTCGGGCCTCGGCTGCGGGGCGAGGCGTCCCGCCCTGGGAGGCGGCTCACCTTTCGGATCCGCCGTTTGATGATAGATTCGGCCGCGAAGACCCGCTCGCCCACTGCAGACAGCTCCATCTTGCTCAGCGGCACCCACAGCCCATAATACTCCCTGCTCCCGCGGCCGGTGCTGCACCGCTCGCGCACGCGCCGCAGCGCTCAGGCTCGGCGGGCGGGCGCGCGGCAGGGCGCGCGCTCGCGTTCCAGCTGCGGGCCGTCACGTGACCCTCCGGGCTGGTGCGCCGTTGCCAGGACCTCCTCCTCCCCCGGGGCGGTTGCTAGGGAAAGTGAGCGCACGCGGGGCCGGGGCGCGCGCTGGCTCTTAAAGGGGCCTAGCCTGGCTCGGGGAGCCGCGGCCCCGAAGTCCGGGAAGGAGATGCTTGGCCTGCGGGAAGCCGGGTTGCGGACAGTGCAGTCTTACAAACACTTTCTCATTCTCCCCTCCATCTTCCTGCCCCCCGACCGCTGACTACCTCTCCCTCTTAACCCTTCCTTACATGTCACTCCTGGGCCCTGGGCGGGGAAGCGGGGTGGAATTTCTACCGTCGCTGCTCAACCTCCCAGCAGAAGTTTGCAAACAGTTAAATATGATACAGCAGAAATGCATTTGCTGTTGCCTTGCCAGGCCCTGCGGGAATTTCTTTAAAACACTGCTCTCCCCCCCCCCACTCCATTATTTATGTATTCGTGGGAGTATGGTTTTGTAACCAGTTCAGATGAATTAAAACAAAAACGCCACCGCAGGAAAGGGTGGGGGGAGGCGGTGAATGGGGCCAAGGAAGGTCGGGGTGATCCCTTGGATTTGTTTTCGGCTGGGGTCTTGGGCGGGCACCTGCCTTCACCGGGAGGGAGGTCGGGTGAAGACGCAGTGAGCAAGATGTGGCGGTGGTTGGGGGGCGGGGGGGGGGGGGGGGTGGCGGTCCAGGGAGGAGAGGCCGCGGGGTGACTACAGGCTTCCCACGTACCAGATTGGGCCCGAAGCGGGTCATCCTTGGGTCACTCGGCAAAAGCCGCCATCGCGGTCAGGTCTGTCTGTTTTCTGATTCCCAGGCCCCCTGGCCGCGTCACCCTCTTGCCGCCTACAGTTCCTCTAATGGTTCCGCCATTGCTAACGGGGAGACCACAGCCCAGCTTCTTATTTGGGGAGGGAATGGGAGACTTCGGCTGTCCTGGAAGGGGCACAACGTAGTCCTGCCGCACAAGCCGCGCCATTTCTTTTATTTTGAATTATCTAAACTTTATTTTAAAAAAAAAACACCAACAGCCCTGTTCTTTGCATTTTTTTTTTTAAGTAAGAAAGGAAAAAAAAAAAGAACTGTCTATAATCTCCATCCAACCGTTAACCTCTTCATGGATCTTCTTCCCGCCTCTGTCCTAAGCCTAATAAACACACGTACCTGTGCTTCTTTGTACGTTATATACATGTAGTATAGATGTGTATTTAAATACTTTCTTTTCAGCAGAATGGGCCGCATTGTTCACGCTAGCTGGAATCCACTTTTCTCCCTTAATGATATAAAGCGGACCTTTTTTAGTGTCATTGAGTACACATTTCCCAATCGTTTGTTTGTGGTGGCACCGAGTCGGAGGTGGAGAGGGCTGGGGATGTGGTTCCGATCAGGGCTGTCTCTTGCTCTCATTATTTATTTGTTGGAAAAGAAGATTTTTACATGTCCTGTGGTGCAACCCCAATTCTTATGGTTTCAAGTCAACCATGTCAAAATTTCTGTTTCTCATCCCTACCAGCCTGCTAATTTGTCCGGTTATTACCTTGGGCGAAATCCCCCTCCTCTGTTAAAGTCCACATGCTCATGAGAAATAGATATTTGCTGTCCAGACCAAAGTGGGCTTCTGTGTAAGTATAGAAGTGCCCTCCTGGGGGCGGTGGAGGTGGTTGGACAGGTGAGCTATGTGGATATGAATGTGTGTGTGTTCTCAGGCTGCAGAACACAGACAGCTGGATGAAGCCGGTAAGCATTAACCCATTTTTTGGTTCTCTCAGCAGCTCTTGTGAGTCCTTTATAAGGTTTTGTGTTCAGCTGTCAGAAACAGAGGTACCCAGGCTTGAGAAGCTCTGAGGTGAGAAAGGCATCTGCTATGCAATGTGACCAGTGCTGGAATAAAGATGTATTCATTTCTTATGGCTGCTGTCACATTACCACAGGCCAGTGGTTTGAAATAACACAAATGTCTTATCTTACAGTTCTGGAGGTCAGAAGGCCCAGATTGGTGTCTTTGGGCTCTAGGGAGAGAATCCATCCTTGCTTCTTCCAGCTTCTAGAAGCTGCTGGCATTCCTTGGCTCACTCTAATATTTACTTTTGCCTTCCCTTGTCTGACTGACCACCTCCTTCTGATAAAGATCTTTGTGATGACATTGGGCCCACCCGAATAATCAAGGACAATTTCCCATCTTGACATATCTTACCTTAATTGTATCTGCTGAGTCCTTTTCACCATAGAGTTACATATTATGTAAAGTATATAAGGTATCATATTCATAGATTCTGGAGATTAGAATGTGGACATATTTGGTGGGTGGGGCCTTATTCAACTTACTACAAAAGGTATGTTTAAGATGCCCTGAGAGTCTAGATATATTAGTCAAGGCTCACCAGAGAAACAGAACCAATAGCATGTATATAGAGATACATAAGAAGACTTCCCTGGCGGCTCAGAAGGTAAAGCGTCTGCCTACATGGGGTCGCAAAGAGTTGGACATGACTGAGAGACTTCACACTCATTCAGAGATACCTAAGAGGAGATTTCTTATAGGAATTAGCTTTATGATTATGGAACCCCAAGAAGTCTGCTGTCTGCAAACAGGAGAACCAGGAAAGCCAGTAGTGAAAGGCCTGAGAACCAGGGGGCTGCTGGGATAAGTCCCCAAGTCTGAGGGTCTGAGAGTTAGGAACTCTAATGTCTGAGGGCAGGAGAAGATCCATGTCCCAGCTCAAAAAGAAAGGGAATTTGCCATTCCTCCATCTTTTGGTTTTATTTGGGTCCTCCATGGATACTGTTATCACTTTGCCAACAAAGGTTCACATAATCAAAGCTGTGGTTTTTCCAGTAGTCATGTACAGATGTGAGAGTTGGACCATAAAGAAGGCTGAGCACTGAGGACTTGATGCTTTCGAACTGTGGTGCTGGAGAAGACTCTTGAGAGTCCCTTGGACTGCAGGAGATCAAACCAGTCCATCCTAAAGGTAATCAACCCTGAATATTTATTGAAAGGCCAGAACTGAAGCTCCAATACTTTGGCCACCTGATGCGAAGAGCTGACTCATTGGAAGAGACCCTGATGCTAGGAAAGATTGAGGGCAGGAGGAGAAAGGGATGACAGAGGATGAGATGGTTGGATGGCATCATGGACTCAATGGGCATGAGTTTGAGCAAGCTCTGGGAGATGGTGAAGGACAGGGGAGCCTGGCGTGCTGCAGTTCATGCATAGGGTTGCAGAGTCAGACACAACTGGGTCACTGAACAACAACAGTGAATACCATGGTGCCCTTCTGCATCGGTAAGAGTGGACGTCTTTACTTGGCGTACTGAATCTAATGCAGACAAGTGAATGATAGTGTTTGCCAGCTATTTGGGCATCCTGTAGCCCAGGCAGGCTGACCTATAAAATGAAACATCCTGCTAGATAAGGGAGCATCCCACTGCCTGGAGGAAGTCTTCTCAGAGGTGGGGACGTTTAATGTGGGACCTGAAAGATGAAGAGGCGTTGCCTGCTAGTGAAGAATGAGAAAGGCATCTCAGGTCAGTGGAGCAGGAGCTTCTGTGAGAGAAGGTCCCTCCCACCTCTTCCACAGACTGACACCTCAGTTCAGTTCAGTTGAGTTCAGTTGCTCAGTTATGTCCAACTCTTTGTGACCCCATGAACAACAGCACGCCAGGCCTCCCTGTCCATCACCAACTCCCGGAGTCCACCCAAACCCATGTCCTTTGAGTTGGTGATGCCATCCAACCATCTCATCCTCTGTCGTCCCCTTCTCCTCCCACCCTCAATCTTTCCCAGCATCAGGGTCTTTTCAAATGAGTCAGCTCTTCGCATCAGGTGGCCAAAGTATTGGAGTTTCAGCTTCAACATCTGTCCTTCCAATGAACACCCAGGACTGATCTCCTTTAGGATGAACTGGTTGGATCTCCTTGCAGTCCAAGGGACTCTCAAGAGTCTTCTCAAACACCACAGTTCAAAATCATCAATTCTTCGGTGCTCAGCTTTCTTTATAGTCCAACTCTCACATCCATACTTGACCACTGGAAAAACCATAGCCTTGACTAGATGGACCTTTGTTGACAAAGTGATGTCTCTGCTTTTTAATACGCTGTCTAGGTTGTTCATAACTTTCCTTCCAAGGAGTAAGCGTCTTTTAATTTTAGGGCTGCAATCATCATCTATAGTGATCTTGGAGCCCAGAAAAATAAAGTCAGCCACTGTTTCCACAGTTTCCCCATCTATTTGCCATGAAGTGATGGGGCCGGATGCCATGATCTTGGTTTTCTGAATGTTGAGCTTTAAGCCAACTTTTTCACGCTCCTCTTTCACTTTCATCAAGAGGCTCTTTAGTTCTTCTTCACTTTCTCCCATAAGGGTGGTGTCATCTGCATATCTGAGGTTATTGATATTTCTCCCGGCAATCTGGATTCCAGCTTGCCGGATTCCTCCAGCCCCGCGTTTCTCATGATGTCCTCTGCATATAAGGTGTTCAGTAAATATTTCTTGGACACATGAGTGGGCCATTGAAGGAATTCTTGAGAGTAAGTTTGACCCTATAACATGTGTGTGAATTCAGACCCAGCAAACGCTCTCTGGGTGTCCCCTTCCCTCCCCATGTTGAACTTAGGGAACACAAACGTGGAAGAGGTGGGATTTCTACCCTCCAGGAACCGAGGTGCATGGAGGGATGAAGGTCTAAACAGATGTGATGTGATCTGTGCCAACTTTTAGTTGTCAACTTCTCTGAGCTTCAGTTTTCTTCATGCCTGTCTTGTAGGGCTTCCCAAGTGGCTCAGTGGTGAAGAAGCCACCTGCAGTGCAGGAGACACAGGAGACATGGGTTTGATCCCTGGGTC